CCTCAATGCCCTCCTTCTTCGTGTACACCCACTTGCACCCAATCGCCTTCCGCCCCTTTGGAAGCTCAACAAGCTCCTATGTATCGTTCTTATGAAGGGACTCCATCTCCTCCTGCATAGCCACCTGCCACGAATCAGCCTCCGAACTCTGGTCGGCCTCTTTGAATGTAGTAGGCACCATCTCATCGATACTCTCCACCAGAAATGCATATGCAATTGTGTCGGCATACCGTGCTGGCACACGTATGTCTCTCCTCTGTCTCCGTGCCGCAATAGAATCCTGAACCTGAGCCGTCGGTCCCTGATCCTGCTCATGAGTATCCGTATCCTCCGCATCACCGTCGTGCTCGCCTGGCGTCACCTCAGTCGGCACTCTAATGGATACTGCACTATCTGGACTCTGTGGAGCTGCATCAATCTCCACCACCTGCGAAATCTCCTCTGTCGGGTTGCTCTCCACCTGATGAGAGCTGGGAAGCTTCAAGATAGAAGCCTCATCGAATGTGACGTCCCTACTCAGCACAATCTTCTTATCAACTGGATCCCAAAGCTTGTATCCCTTGACACCACGCTTGAATCCTACAAATATGGCCTTCCTAGCTCAAGGTTCCAACTTATCAGTTCTAACATGATAATATGCAGGACAACCAAATACCTTAAGCTGGTCATAGTCATGTGCTGTTTCTCCCGACCACATCTCCATAGGGGTCTTCCCCTCAATCGCAGATGAATGCAGCCTATTAATGAGGTGGCTCGTATAAGAAAGTGCCTCAGCCCAAAAGATCTTTTCCAAACTACTATGCGCTAATAAACATCGAATCTTCTCCAGCAAAGACCGATTTAACCTCTCTGTCACCCCATTCTGCTGCGGTGTATGACTAACTGTGAAGTGTCTCTCTATGCCCTCGTCTCGACATAGCTACTGAAAGGGATCTGAAGTATACTCGCCGTCGTTGTTGGATCGCAACGTCTTGATCTTTCTCCCAGTCTGCAGTTCCAATCTCTTCTTCCACTCCACAAACAAATCTAGGACTTCACTCTTATGCTTCATGGTGTACACCCAACAACGCCTAGAATAGTCATCAACAAATATGACGAACCAATGTCGACCACCAAGTGATGTCGTCTTGGTGGGACCCCAAACATCTGTGTGCACGTAGTCCAAGATGCCCCTCGTCCTATGAATGGCCGTCCCGAACTTCACCTTCGTCTTCTTGCCAAGAACACAGTGCTCACAGAACTCAATCTTTCCACTCTTGGCTCCCTTCAGTAGCCCCTGCTTGCACAAAGCCTGCAATGACTTCTCTCCTGTGTGCCCTAACCTGTAATGCCAAAGTCTGCTCATGTCCGCCTCTGAAATAGCCGAAGCAACCTGGCCAATCTCGGTGCTCCCCTTCAGATAGTATAAATTATGACTGTGGACTCCCTTCATCACCACCAAAGATCCCTTAGTAACCTTCGCTACAGCATCCTCAAATGTCACCCTGAATCCCTTCGCCTTCAAAGCCCCAACTGAGATAAGATTCTTCTTAAGTTGAGGAACGAATCTCACCTCCTTCAACTCACGGACTACTCCATCGTGTATCCGAATCCTCACAGTACCTATCCCACAAACGCCACAGGATTGATCATTTTCCATGACAATAACACCCCCATCGAGTCTCTCAAATGATGAAAACCAATCTCGCCTAGGAATCACATGATAAGTAGCGTCAGAATTAAGCATCCACTCCGATGCATCCAAATGGTTCACCTCCGAAGTAATCAAAAGAGAAAAGCTCGAATCATCAGAATCATTGCCTTTCGCAACATTCACCTCATTGGCCTTCGGGCCCTTATTCTTGCTATTCTCCTTTTCTTTGACTTTCGGGCAGTCTCTCTTCCAATGTTCCTGCTCTTTGCAGAATGCACATTGGTTCTTTCCAAGCTGGTGACGACCTCTTGACTTTGACCTCCCTCTATTTCCACCTTTCTGATATGAGCTTCTACCTCTCGTCGACAAGGCCTCTCCTGAAGTACTAGCGCGGGAAGTCTCCTTATCATTCCTCCTCAAATCATAGTTCGTCAATGCGTTAGTCACTTCACTATAAGTGATAGAAGATCTCCCGTTCAACAACGTAAGCACGAATGTATCATACTCCTCATCTGGTAAGGAGCCCAAAAGAATAATAGCCTTGTACTCATCTGTGATCTTCTCATCCACGTTCGCCAAGTCCGACAACAACTTAGTGTAGTTGTTCACATGAGCCGCAAGCGAGGTGCCTCTGGACATCTGAAATCTGAATAATCTTCGCAGCAAGTGCAACCTGTTCTCAACACTCTTCGTGAGATACTTGTTGTTGAGAATCTCCTACATCTTCATTGCAGACGTCACCTCAATCACATCATATTTTAGTTCCTGTTCCAAACAAGACCTGATCACCCCGCAAGCATTTCGATTCATCTTTTCCCATATCGCCTCTTCATATTTAGGTGGCCTCACATCGACCATGATGGTCTCCTCCAGATTTTGAGCATTGAGCACATCTTGTACGTCGCTCATCCATAAACCAAAATTGATCTTGCCGTCATATTTCACTACACTAATCTTAGTGTTCTGAAAACCCACTTGAACTGTGCCTGTCATCTTGCTGCTTTCACCAACTTCTTCACCCATAATCATAAATTCCAAATTGTAGAGAAAGATCCAAACTTTGAAAGGAATAAGAAATTTTACCCAACTGAACCCTAGATTGGATTCTAAATAGAACTCTTAACCACACGAGGAAAGAGAGATCTTTAACGGTAACTTCAAACCCTAACTCCACCAAAGCCTAGAACTCCAAGAACCAAGCTTCCAACTGAATATTCCTCCACCTAATCCAAAACCCTAGATCTGAAATCTGAGCTCTGATACCACTTGTCGCGCGCCTATGCGGAAGCGTTGCACGCACACACAACGAACTTGAGATCACAGAAGAAGAAAGCCACACACTTGCACAAACCAAGCCAATTACGACAAATCAAACCAAACACAGAGATATACGTGGTTCGGCAACTTGCCTACGTCCACGGGGAGAGGATGGTGAGATTTTACTATATGGAAGAGAAATACAATGGGTTACAACTCACAAAATCACTCAAATATAACCCTAACCAAAGCTCTTAACTCCCTCACAATATCTCCCTCTCAAAGTGCTCAAAACAATGCTAATTCTCTCTTTTTCTCTCCTTAAGAAACCCTAAAAAACGTGGTCCTATTTATAATAAAACACAATCCCAAACAAAGGAGGATTCCCAAACAAAGGAGGATTCTAAAAACGAGTCTGCCACACCCTGCACCATGGGTGTGGCAGAGGGTGTGGTGCAGGAGTGGTGCAGGATGGTTAGTCTAAACCCATCCATACTTAATTATTTTTAACAATTAAGCTGACGGAAGGATTAATATCAATATGTTAAGGTGACCTGGGGGACTAATATAAAAAGTACGAAGATTTGGATTATGTTTAGCAAAATATCTATGATTTAAGAGACTAATATCTAAAGAAACTCTGTTAATATATCTTTACAGAATCCTTTCTTCAGCTTCAGATTTTGTTTAGCAAACGGTCAAAGTGTTGTGGCTTATAAGTCATTTTAACATGTTTGACAAATGATTTATTTTGATTTATAAGCCAACAATAAATAACTGCGGTATCTTAGCTTTTTCTTGGTGGCTCATAAGCCACAAGATTTGACCATGTAAAAGACTAATATACCCCTAATCATTTCAGTAGATTCCAAACTCTTTTTACCTCTCTCATACTCCATTATGCGTTTTTCGGTCATTTTCACAACAATGGTGGCTTATAAGGTAACCATTTGCCAAACATTCTACTGTTCAAAATGGATTATATTTCACTAAATTTGTCAAACACATCAGCTTATAATCCACTTGGCTTATAGTCTATTTTATGTGATATAAGCCAAGTGGAGTATAATTCAAAGTTGCATGCTCTCACATTCATTGAAAATATCAAACGGGGTCCCAATTCAAAGAAGCTCGAACCTTGAGGGTTCAACGGCACTTGATAATCTTTCACTTCTTGACACACACAAAAAAAAAAAAAAAAAACTAGAAGAGACAATCACGATGCACAAGCTCGAAGCAAAATAAGAGCCATGAAAATTTGACAAACTCGAACCAAAATCTACTCGGAATTTCAGCAAACGTGGAATTTCAACAAATAGGTCAAGAGTGTTCAAAAAGAAGCAACTTTACGAAGATTTTGAAGCTTTATGTTCAAAAGTTCCATTTCTAAGGTTGACATGCAATAGACCACGTTAAATAAATTTATTTCAATTTGTAATATAAAATTTAAACTTTAGATTAATAGTATCAATATTTTAAATGCTATTTATCAAAAAGAAAATTAATGGTAAATTTACTTCAATTTGTAGTACAAAATTTAAGTTTAGATTAACAGTATCAATGTTTTAAATACTGTTTATCAAAATAATAATAATAATAATAATTAAATACTGTGTGGCAATCCAGCTCAACTCTTGCGTTGTTACATTCTTGGCATTTGTTCGGTTTGCAGCATGAAAACAGATGGAAAGCAAAGAAGTCAATTCGAATAAACTAATCATAACTCATAAAGCATAATCCACATGCGCTGGCGTATTTATTATTAAGAGCTTTCATAAAATTCTACAAAGCCGCTGAACCAAGAAAGAACGAGAAATAATTACTCATCTTTCCAGATATATTACCCAATAATGACTTATCTTTCCATAGCAAATGAAGGCTAATAATAACATGAACGCTGATAATGATCCATAAGAACGAGTCTCTGAGCCCGCCCTCAACAGAACTAAATGGAAGAATATGATCCGAGCAAATTTATTCGCGAGTTCTTCCGAGACCATCGACTGCAACCACAACTGAATGCAAGGAGCTGTACAGGACCGGATATCCAATTGTTCTGCGGGCTTCCAAACAGTATATCCAGGAAATTAACAGGTTATGTGAAAATATATAATAGAATTTTAAGTAAGCATTCATGACCCCTAAAAAGTTGTTCCTAGTACAAATCAGGCTCACTAAATAGGAAACAACACATGAACCTACTACTAGTTCCCCAAAAGTTTCTCCCAAAGTTTTGCACATCTGATGCCACGCTTTTCAATTACAAACTGCACCCTAAAAGTGGCTCTCAACATTTAGCACGCATCTGGTTATAAAGTACGAAACATGACCGAGAAACCACAAAGTATTTGAATGAAAAACAATTGAGCAGTTTATTGTTCCATTTTGCATCAACCAACCGTAAATCAAACGCACCATCAAAACATATCGTCCCCTATCATGCCTGCCATTCCCCGCTTTGAACCCGGCTTTTACAAGAATGGAGAGGGAGAGTTTCACGCCTTTACCATGTTCTGGCTAAAAAGAAAACCATGTTCCACATTCATATCAGCTCTCATCCATGGCATCCTTGTGCCCATCTTGCCTTGCGGCAGATTCCCCAGATTCTGCCGTTTTGGCAACTGAATCCTCCAACGCCTCGAGGAATGAGAGAACAGTGAAATTATCTGTAGGGAGTAAGAAAGATGAAGTGAGAAGAAACGTACAATATTTTATGTACATTGTAGCAGCAAGACCAAAGACATTCGTACTTCCTGAGTCAGCTCCACACTCAAGTTCCACAATAAATACTATTGAGAAATGCTGAGCACAAGGTTTCTAATTTGGACCCTGGGTGTGTTTGGCAACTCCTCAATATGGGGCTAGGGTTAGACCTGGTCATCTTTTGAGCAAATTTGTGTTTGGGCTAAACTGGGCCAACAATGGCCTAGTTGTATCAAGGCCAAATTTGGCGGCTTAAAACTGGTTTCGTTTTGGACTACCTCCCCCCAGTTCCAAAACAAAACCAGCTTAGTTGAAAACAAGGCCAGGGCCACTCCTGGCCCCATTTTAGGCTATTTTAGGGTGTTTGTCAAAGTGCTAAAACTGGTTTTAGTTGAGATAAGCCCAAGTCCAATAACTCATTCCTAGTTTGGTGAATAAAATTGTTGGGCTAAACTAGTTCTTGTCTGGCCCAATTTTGCCTCATAACTGGACCAAAAAAAACAAGGGTCCAGTTGTTGGAACTCTATCTTTATGCATATGTGTATTTACCAAATATTATTTAGTTCTAGACCAATTTTGCTAAAAAATTAGCCAAACTAAGTTCAACTCAAAACTAGTTCACATAGAAACTAGTCTAGCCTAATCTAGACTAGTGTAACTGGAACAAAACTAAACTAAATATTTCTAAGTTCGCCGAACTGACCGTAAGCTCTGATTTCTGATTGTTTTGGTGGTTCTGGATTCAGATATTTTTTTACGGTGTGCATAGCACATGTATGTGTGTGAACGTGTGTGTAATTACCAGTTTATATTTGATATGCAAATCCTGATGTCTGGACTTGATTGGTAGGTTTAACTTTGTAAAGGATGAACATAAAAAAACAACCAACCTAGGCATCAGATGTACCCTACTTTGGTTTTATGGGATGAATTTTTAACTAATAAGTTTGATGGATTAGGATGCTATGGTTTAAAGAGTAAGCAGAACCATAATAAGTTAAGTGGGTAACAGATTTTGAGTCAGATTGACCAAACTCAAACCATGATTTGTACAGCGGTCTAAAGTTAAGTGAGAGTTCCAATCCTATTCCAACCCATTGGTATAGAGTCTACAGATATAGATTATTAACTGATACTTCTCTTTAACCACCATGAAGAGGTGTCTGAGGAATATGAGCAGCTATGATGAACCTGCTGTCATTCACGACAGAACAGGTTTCTTTCATCCTGACATTCTTTTCTTTTCTTTTCTTATTTTCTTTTACTTTTTTTATTGGATGATGATAGTATTTTTTTTCTAGCGTTTCAAATTTATTTTATCTCTCATGCCCGTTTTAAGTTTTAAAATCCGTCTGAAACTGATTTCTCGTCCAAGTTTTCAGATAGATCCTCTTCAACACTGATAAGAGACTTCCAACACGAATTGGCTTAGGTCGATACCACATTCTTACGTTAAAAGTTTATAAGAAAATTTATATCTTAGCAAAAGCTAAGCTGAAGTCCCAGAAGGAAGTAAGATCATCATCTCTAGCATCTAATCTGATTATCTGACAATATTTTGTTTGCGCCCTGCCTGCATACAGTCCTCAAGGCCCTGGAAAGTCCAGTGGATAAAACATGACAGCAAATGCTGCAATGCATTACAGAATATAAGAAGCAAGACTTTCCTCAACACTTGCACTACGAATAAGGTCAAGCATATACTGCTTGGTATGAACCCACCAACAAGGCTAACAACTAACACAATAGCATGGATTTTTTTAACTGTGAGAAAAGCACTTACATTTACTTGAGTCTATTCCAAACTGAGACAAATCTATCTGTCCTGTTCGAAGTACCTATAAAAAGACGATCATCATAACGAATAGAAAAGATAATAACCATGGAAAGTTAGCAGTAACAGCATTTAACTTCCTACATGTGTAAATGTCTCTACTTGTTGGCGAAATGGTGCACTCTGTAACAATTCTGTGATAGTTTCGGGAGTCCAAGGACCCTAATCATTACACAACATCGTTAGAGAACTGAAGCATCAACCGTTATAACATTCCCAACAGATTTAAGAAAATAGCACTGACCTCAGGTAAGTATGACGCCAGTCTTTGCTGAACTGGTAACTTTTCAATCAGTGGAGAAACCAAATCAGGTGTCAAAATATCCCCTAATCCTAGACCTGTATGAGGGGTAAAAAGGAAATGAGAAATTAATAAATTATATCTTCTATGCAACATTGTCATAAATTTTATAGCAGTGTTGGATGGAACTTCACCTGCATCAGGGTCTTCAACAGCAGCTGATGGTATTCAAAAGCAATAAAATGTCAAATGCCTCACAGAATCATATAGCAGAAGTAGTTTCAAGTAAACAGAAAAGCACTGATATAATACCTGGTGCCTGGATGCCTCTTAATATTCTCTGCAAGTCCGCTAATTGTACGTGTCCAGCAGAAGAAGTTACTTCAGCCGATTCCCCAGCCACAGTTTGATCAACCAAATTTCCAGCTCTGAATAACAGGAATATCAGAGACAAAATTTGCGGTTTACTCAGTAAAGGAAAAAAAATAACTACATGAAGTCTTTTTACTTAGATGCAACCATTGAAAATAATAGCTAGAGCTTGGTAAACTTCCATAATTCCGTCAGAAACTTGGCACGTGAATTGCATGTCCCACAATCACCACAATTGTGTTTCTCCAAAGAAAAGATTAAAACCGTAGTGAATTGCGCAAGGATCAGATTTTTCGTAGCACAAACACTTGTCACGAAATTTTATTAGTGTAGAATAATAGAATATATATTCTATACGACAGTCCCTTGGACACTCATATGCAACTACTTGGACATTCATTAGACATATTCAGGACACTTTTCTGTTGTGTCCCAGGTTTTAAAATGCATCTTATGTACTAGTTCACAATCTTATTTCTTTTTTATTTGTTCTTATATAGTGTTGTGTCAATTTATCCTACTCCAATGAAAAGATAAGTACAAAATAATGATTGTGCAAATTAAAGGTATACTTACTGTTGTCTGGCTGTTGTGTCTTATTCTAGTTTTACTTATACTGGCATGTTGTGGGTCCATGTCATGTCACCATGCTATCCATGTTCAAATCAGAGCATCAGATTAAGCAGGTAAGATCAAATTGAGTTAAGGTCAATCTAGATTGTGGTAAATGGTAAGTACTATCATAATAAATTGATCCAAACTTGAGAAGTTGAATTCTTTCAGATAATAGCACCAATGTGGTCTTTCAACACACAGACACACAGAAGGCAAATGCACAAATACACAAAATTGCAAGCACAGCCATAAAGGTTAGTGATATGTCCACAGGTTTATATATAAGCACGATCAATTAGGTAACAGATTGATCTCTAAAATTCCATAAGCGCTAAAGGTTTTTTGCAGAAGTACCTAGATGAGATATCGTCTTCAGCTGTGTCTTCTGACACTTCAGACATATGCATAGGAACTGATGCTTCTGCCTCATCTTCACCAATCATGTCTGGAAAATTGAGACCTAAACAATCCGACAGAGCAATTCCATAAAATGGCAATTCAGTAGTTTAAACATACCTATAGGGCGATTGATAAAGCAATTGACAGAATTGCATAGTTGTGAGTCTCCATCAGATTGTGGCTCCTGTTTATAAATCTAAAAATTAAAGCAAAAGAGTTCTCTAAGGCAAACATGTTAAACAGAGACAATATAATATGAACTGACCTGCATCCAGAAAAAGAACTTTCGTTCATCGGAACTAAACTTCAAAATGTATACTCTCCCAGAAGACTGAGACACCTGAATGATAGAAAACAGGAAAATTATCATGAATGCTTATTGAGAAAAACAATGGAGCTACGCAGAAGATACATGCTAGTGAATTAAAACAAACCTTCTCAAAAACAGCTTCATCTGGGAAGATTATTTGATCCTGTTGTACTTATTAAGGAAAATACAACTGTGATAACAAAATGAAGAACATAAAACGAGGGGAAATGAAACTAGCTTTACTCAGCTACAATAAATGAACCAGAGTACATCACTAAATGCTGGAAGGAGTAGGATTATATAGATTTGGGACAGAGGACCAAATAAATTCAATTACTTTAAGAACAAAACTGTACGATAGAAGGTCTCCATGGATATTCAATACTAGAAAGTCACAGTCTATACAGAAGCCCAGTAATTCAAACAACATATGCAACAAATGAAGACAGAGAAGCTTGTGTTCCATAAGACCTGAGCAGTATGGAATTTAAAAATTTGTAAACAAGATATACTTGAGTGACAAAAAGATACAAGTTCAACAACATTCTGCGTGCGCTCAAGCCACTGAAAATGGATCAATCCTTCCTCACCCTAAAAATACACATGAGAAAAGATCAAATTCAAATCATAAGGACAAATATCAATCACTATCCTATATAGACATGAGATGAACATGCGCGAGGGTGCCTGGACCATAAAGTTAAAAGTTTCTTATAACACTACGCCCTACCCTTCCAATGCGAACAAGACCTTTGCGGCTATCTGGGACCACCCGTTTCCCTTCAAGCGACATTCTGCCAGCACGAAATTCCAACAAAACTTCCTGGATAAAAACAGAAATGAGATACGAATGTAATACAAATCTCAATAAAATGTGGTTTTGAAGAACGTGCAAGTGGTTTGATATAGACACAAAAGTAAGCAAAGCGTTTCAATATGTACATGTAAGTGGATTCACTTCCTAATATATACATGTATATATAGGAGTAATATCTTAATACAAGAAATGAGAATCACCAAGCCTTTTAAGAATGGTTAACTGTACCCACATAAACTTTTCGAAATTATGCAGAAGATTATCAACTGGACAGCAAGGAGAGGGGGAAAGGGATCACATGTGAATGAATGTGAAAAGGTGGCAAGTTAACATTGGAGTACTTCTTAATATTTTTAAATCTTGTTAGAGATAAGAATAACTGAGAAAAGCTAATTCAAGAATGGTTGTATACACACAACACACATTTGATCCCTGAGAAAATGTTCTTAAACAGTAAGAGTCAGAGAGGAAATCATGATCAGTGGATGTGCTTCTACATCTTGCTAACCCTTGAATGCTTGTCTCATATCCTAAATCTTAGTAAAGATAAGATTTCTACAAAAGGCTACGTTCAGATTGCTATAGACACAGAGATACATAGTTTCACTTTGCATAAAAATCCGAAGTATATGGAGGAGCGTCACTTTCAGAATTTACCTCATTTGATGTGACCAATCACACGAAATAGCATGAGTTTTGTTTGCTAAACGGGTAAGTTACAGAAAACAAAAACCTTTTGACCACTTGTTGAGAAAACCCCATCGATGGTAATGATAAGTAAACCCAATCTTTCTTTAAAAAAGAAACCACCTGTAGCCTGTACGATTATCTATTAGAAACTTAATCATGTGAGATGCACATGATGACTTAAATAAATTTAACCCATTTCAACCCGAATATCTCTTCATCCCCCAGAATTTTGGGCTATTCCCCACAAAACCCCATGAACTCTTGCTTTTCTCACTAAACACCTAGAACTTTTCCCATAAACCCGCCAATACTTAGAAGTGTCTCAAGTAACCCCTCAAACCTTTTGAGAAAGTCTCTTACAATTGAAGGAGCACATTATCTATCCAATTTTATTTTTTCCATGTTTTCTCTCCTCATCTTCTCTTCTCCTTGCTTTTTGGCGATCTTTTTGGAAAAGTCAAAAATTTTGGAGGTTCTTTGAGAGTTTTGGGAGTTTTGGGGATTTTGTGGGGAAAGTTTCCAGTGATGTGGAAAAGAAAGTTCAGAGTTTTATTTAGAATTGGCCCAACATTTTGGGGCTTACTGTGAAATTTACCATGAAAGATGTACCATAACCCTTCTCCTCATCTCCCATCTCCAGCTCTTGCTCTTGACCAAACAACAAACAACAACTGACATCCCCCTAGCCACACATGCACGTTACGCCTTTACAGAGTTTTCATACTCCTCTGCATCTCCGCACTCTCACAAGTTTCCATACTCAACCCCTTGGTCACAGTACTTACCCCCGGAGTTTCCATAATCTTTTGAGTTTCCGCACTTACCCCTAGAATTTCCATATTTCTTTGAGTTCTCATATTCACCCCAAGCCACCTTACTCATCCTCAGAGTTTCCATATAAGTTTGAGTTTCCATGCTCCCCCCAAGTCACCGTACTCACCCCACTGAGTCCTCGTACACTTTTTAAAAATTCTTCTCACGATTTTGTACATATTACATTTTTTATGACCACATGGAAGTGGGGAAACTACTTTTTTGGGCTAGATAAAGCTGTAATATCTAATCCATTGATTTAACAGAAAAATGGCAAAATATAACTCTACAAAATTATTCAAGCCTAAGAATATGGGAGAAAACTCTGAATCAAACCAAAGTCAAAATAATCATCGACGAGGTCAAGAAGGCATATGGAAGAACATCAAAAATATTATCAAGTGAACCCCTCAATTCTCTAACAAAAATTCAATCAATAATGCAGCAACACAAAAAAAATAAAAATAAAAATAAAAAAAATAAAAAAATAAAAACAAATTCATGTTGAAGGAGCATAAAATGATCATTCAAGAACTATTTATCAAAACCCTAACTCTGTAGTTTGTTCTTGTTCGTTCAGGGGAAAAACCTACAAACTCCAAAATCCAAACTGCAATTGAAAATCTACAATCAACTAACTAAAAGCATCAACAAATATTACCAAGCATTATTAGTAACAACATAAAGGTGATTAATTCTGCCTAAAAATTAAACCCAATCGACGAATTCGGTTAAAAGAAAACAAACCTCCATCATCTCGCGTCGCCGATCTGAGACCTGAATCGATCGAGAGAGAGAAAGAAAGGGGGTGAAATTAGGGATTAGAACGGGTTTGGGGTTTTGTTCTTTTTAGCTTCAATTTCGGGTCGGGTTCAATTTCTTTTTAGCTTCAGTTTCGGGTCGGGTTCAATTTGGATAACGGTTTAAGATTCGTTGTTCATGAAAAGTAAATTTCAGTAAATCCCCCGAACTTTAGGATGATTTGCACAAAACTCTCTAAACTTTAAAAATTAGAGAAAAGCCTCATAAATTTTGAGTGTTTTTGAAAAAAAGTCCCTGAACTTTCAAAATGATACATCTAAACTTTGCGCCAACTTATATTTAAGGGTTTGTCAGGGAAGAGAGATATAGGGAAGTGAGAGAAGAATGTTTTTTTTTATTTGTGGATGTTTTCAAAAGTTCAGGAGGACTTGTTAGAGTGGGCGGAGTTTTGGGGGTTTTCTTCAAGGTTTAAATTTTAAGAGGGTTTTCTCTAAATCCTCCAAAGTGTACTCAAGTTTTCTAAAATTTACCCTTCATAAAACTACCATAAATTTGGGTGTTGCGATAAACTACCATAAACCTTTGTAACAGGAAAATAGCGAGTTAATTGGATCATTGATTATCGTATTTATCACATAATTGGATGATCATACCTATATTTTAATTATTTGGATCATCAACATATATTTGAACTAGGATGAAATCATTTTTCATTTTTCTTACAAAAAGAGTATTATCAATTGTTCCTTTAGAAAAGCCATTTTCAATAAAAAAACTAGAAAGGCGAGCATACCAAGCTCTAGGAGCTTGTTTCAACCCATATAAAGCTTTTTGTACCCGGTAAACATGATTAGGAAAAGCATGATCTATAAAACCGGGGGGTTGCTCAACATACACTTCCTCTTCAATAAAACCATTTTAAGAAGGCACTTTTGACATCCATTTGAAATAATTTGAAATTTTTAAAACTAGCAAATGCCAAAAACATCCTAATAGATTCCAACCTTGCAACCGGTGCAAAGGTTTCATCATAGTCTATGCCCTCCTCTTGATTGTATCCTTGGGCAACCAAACGAGCTTTATTTCTAGTTACAATGCCATGTTCATCAAGTTTGTTTCTAAAAACCCATTTTGTACCAATAACACTAGCATTTTTTGGTCTAGGAACTAACTTCCAAACTTCATTTCTTTGAAAATTGTTTAATTCTTCATGCATAGCCAAAACCCAAAACTCATCATTTAAAGCATCATTAACCTTTTTAGGTTCTAGTTGAGATAGAAATGCAACATTACCACATTCACTCAAGGCTTTTGAGCGAGTTATAACTCCTTTTGAAGGGCTCCCAATGATTTGTTCCTTTGGGTGGTTTGATGTGAATTTCCAAGCTTTAGGTTGTTCAACTTGATCTTGAGCATTTGTGCAATCTACATCCTTTTGAGCTTCTATAGAGGGAGTGTCATTGATTTGCAACAAGTCCAATCCTCCCTCAATATCATCATCATCATCCTTCCTAGGCAAAACAACTTGAGAGCCAACATTAGTCTCATCAAAAGTAACGTTTATAGACTCTTCAACAACGAGGCTTCGTTTATTGAAGACCCTATAAGCCTTACTTCGAGGTGCATAACCCAAGAAAATACCAACATCAATTTTGGAATCAAATTTATCATGGTGATCTTTTGTATTTAAAATAAAACATTTGCAACCAAAGACACGAAAATAGCCAATGAAAGGAGTTTTTCCAAAATAAAGTTCATAAGGGGTTTTCTTAAGCTTTGGTCTAATCAAAACACGATTTAAAACATGGCAAGCCGTGTTGACGGCTTCCGCCCAAAAATATTTTGGCAAATCAAAAGAATTAAGCATAGTGCGTGCCATCTCTTGTATGGTGCGATTTTTCCGTTCAACAACACCATTTTGTTGTGGTGTTCTAGGAGCGGAAAACATATGAGTAATACCATGATGAGCACAAAAATCATAGAAAAATTCATTTTGAAATTCACCACCATGATCACTTCTTATTTTAACAACTTTCAAATCTTTTTCATTTTCAATCCTTTTAACATGATTAGCAAATTCTTCAAAACAATCATTTTTCTTAGCAAGAAATATTGTCCATGTAAAACGAGAAAAATCATCAATAATCACAAAAACATAGTGTTTGCCTCCAAGAGAGGTAACACGCATAGGACCAAATAAATCAAGATGAAGTAATTGCAAGGGTTTAGAAGTCGATACCTCATGGATGGATTTGAAAGAAGATTTTGTTTGTTTACCTTTGGCACAATCCTCACAAATTGTATCTTTTATGAAGTGCAAGTTAGGTAGCCCTTTCACAAGATTCTTCTTAGACAATTTTGAGATTAGCTCCATATTTGCATGTCCAAGTCTCTTGTGCCAAATCCAAGGATTTTCATCAATTGCCGCAAGACACTTTACATCTTGATTCACTAACTCATTCATCTCAAAAATGTAAACATTAGACTTGCGATTTGCAATGAAAACAATTTTTCCATCCATACTAATGATGCATTTGTCCGGTTTAAAAGAAATATCAAAACCTTTATCACTCAATTGACTAATACTAAGAAGATTATGATTTAAACCACTTACTAAATAAACATCTTCTATTATGGGTGAGGGTTTCTTACCAATGGAGCCAATACCAACGATTTTGCCTTTCTCACCTCCACCGAAGGAGACATTGCCTCCTTCAATCCTTGATAGGGTTGCAAATAACTCTTTGTTGCCCGTCATATGATGTGAGCAACCACTATCAAGGTACCACATCTCCTTACATCGTTGCCGCGACGTTCCCTACAAAAGAAGAAGATGAAGGTGTAGTAGCTTTAGGTACGCATGTCTTGGGTCCTTGGTGGTTAGTAGTCTTGGTACCTTTGGGTACCCATATCAAACCATAAAAATCTTCATTGTCTTTGATTCTACAATGAGTAGAAATATGTCCATGTCTCATACAATATGTGCACACAAAATTTCTTTTGTATGCATGAGAGTGAGAGCCATAAAACCTATTTCTACCATGATGATAATTAGCAAAAACATGAGTGGGTCTAGTCCTACAACCCTCAATTTCTAATTTTTCAATCTTTGATCTTAGTTGCTTATTCTCGAAATCGAGATCTCCTAGCAATTCATCTTTAAGAGCAAGAGAGGTTGTTAGTTGTTCTAGCTTAATATCACAAGAGGCATGTAATTTTTTGAAAGAAGAGTATTCCTTAGACATTCTTTTAAATTCAAAATTCAACTCTTCTAAAGCCATAGCTATATCACATTGCATATAGAAAGATTCACTTTCGGCCTCGGATATTACCTCATGTTCATTTGCCATGAAACAAACATTTGGGTCATGAAGAGCCAATTTTGCTCCTTCTTCATCACTCTCCGAGTCACTTGGTTCGGATTCTTCCCATCCGGCATACATAGCCTTCTTCTTCTTGTACTTCATGTACTTTTCTTTGAGCTTGGGGCAATCCTTAGCGATGTGACCCGGTTCATTGCATTCAAAACATTTAACTACACGAGATGAAAACTTGTTGTTAGATCGGGAATTAAATTTTTTGTTCATTTTAATAAGTCTAGAGATTCTTCTAGAGAGATGAGCCACTTCTCTAGAAAAATCAACTTCACTATCCGACGACGAAGATGAGTTGTCACTAGCTCCTTTGAGAGCTATGGTCTTCAACTTTGGTGACGGCTCCTCAACTTCACGTGATGGCACTTCCTCCTTCTCCTTCCCCTTTAGCTTCTTCTCATGCACCTTGAGCTTTCCGATAAGGCTATCAAGAGCTAAGGTAGTGAGGTCATGAGCTTCCTCAATGGCCGTAGCCTTGGGCTCCCATGTCGGAGTCAAGGAGCGAAGTATCTTGTAGTTCATCTCTTGAATGGATAGTTGCTTATCTAGACCATGTAATTCATTGATGATATTAGTAAAACGAGAAAACATAGCATCAATGGATTCATTTGGAAGCATTTTAAATAGCTCATAATCATGCATAAGCCCACTAATTTTAGATTCCTTAACTTGGGGGGTTCCTTCATGTGTGACACATAATTTTACCCAAATTTCGTATGCGGTTGCACACGTGGAAACTCTATTATATTCATTAGGGGAAAGACCACAAATTAAGGCGTTCATAGCCTTAGCGTTGAGATTAGCTAGGTGCCTTTCTCCATCGGTCATGTTCCCGACTTTGGACTTTTCTTCATATTTCTCTTCTATGAGCTCTAGAATGTCAAGGTCTATGCAACGAAGGTAAATTCTCATCCTAGCTTTCCAATAAGCAAAATTAGTGCCGGTGAAGAGAGGTGGCCTAGTTGTGGATTGTCCTTCTAGCATATGCATATTCAAAGATGCCTCCATTAGATCTTTTCTCTAAGGTTGTTAAACCAAAAACTGATATAGAGACCAAGCTCTGATACCAATTGAAGGACCCTAGAGGGGGGGTGATTAGGGTCAAGAGGCTCTAATATGCAATTAAAATTCAGTACAAACAAACCACAGTAACAGAAGTGCAATAATAAAGAAAGAGATAAAGTTAGGAATCGTTATCCTTGACGCGCGATGTGTTAACGAGGTTCGGCCCGCTGACCTACGTCCCCGCTCCCCACTCTCGAGGAGAAATCCACTAACACATCCGGTTTGGAAGCCGGAACTTCGTCTACACAATGATCCCACAAGATCTCTCTCTCACTACACAGTTGATCTCACAGATCACACTCCCTCACAGTCGATCTACACAAGATCTCACTCACAGCAGCAGAAGATAAATGCAAGACACTCTCTTTACACAAGCCCCTATAGCAAAGAGAAGAGTACTGAAGCTGGGAAGTGAAACACACACAAGAACTCAGAAGAACAAATTTGATTTGAAAATTTTCTCAGGAAGAAACAGAGCTCTCTGGTTCTCTTTCAAACGTTAGGGCTTGAGGAAAGAAGAAGCAGGCTTGGGAAGAAGAAGCAGGCTTGGGGGGTTTTATAAAAGAGTTTAAATCAATAAAAACAAAAACCCAATCTTCCTATTTAGGAAGATAATCTACTTTGCAGGTTGTGACCTC